CTATTGACAGTGAAAAGAAAATGAATTTGGATATAGGGTTTATTGAAGATATGTGGCTCACGGTAACAAATATTTGTTTAAGAAATTATTTAGTATAAAACATTTAATTTGCTTTTATTTACTTTAAAACATTCTCCATAGATTATAAACCAAAATGGGGGCTTTACAAAGTGTGGCTGTCTTTAAAAACTGTTTTCTTCCCATTTATTGTTGTTATAATGATATGGTTTTGGAGACGTGTTCATATGCTCTCAAGATCACCAGCTTTATTAGAATATATGCTGATATATTTAGGGCTTACTTTAACTTTCTTAAATAGTAAGTAATAAAATTATTTAAATATACCATAGTTCATTTCATCTTCATTTATTTAAAGATTATATAATTTAATGTACTGATTTAGGTTGAAAACTTAATTATAAAACATGAACTTCAAATAATATTGTAATATAAGTATTGCAATGTATTAACTTAGAACTCTTATTATTTATTTATTCATAATAAATTTTTTTAATATGGCATGGTTTCATAATTTTATGTTTTCACATTTTGAAGAAAATAATTTGTTTATAGTTGGAAATCATTTTTGTTGTTACTCAGTATTTTAATTACAATATGTGTTTATTTTGATATTGCCTTATTCATATTTTTTTTTTTTTAGTGCCTTTGGAATACTTAACTTTGATATATGATATGCCATTTATGTTACTTTTGGGCGATATACGTCAAGGAATATTTTATGCAATGCTACTATCATTTTGGCTTATATTTGCCGGAGAACACATGCTGGTAATTATTTTTCACAGACTATTTCTAAATTTGTCTTTTCTTTAGCACTGGAATTTACTTCTAATTTTTTAATAATATTAGATTCAAGACACTAAGAAAGTACATTGAAGGAATATTGGAAGAATCTCTGTGCTGTGGCTATGGGCTGCGTTTCTTTATTCATTTTTGATATGTGTGAACGTGGTGTGCAACTCCATAATCCATTCTACTCTATTTGGGTTACAGATATTGGAACAAACTTAGCAGTATCCTTTTTCAATAATCTAGTTTTATATTTTTCCATATTTGCATGTTTCTAGATTATATATATTGCTTTATGATTTTTTCTTAATAATTATTATAGCTAACTTTCATTATCCTCGCTGGAATTTCAGCTGGTGTTTACTTTATGTTCCTTTCCTACATGACATGGAAAGTGTTCTGTAACATTAGCATTAAGCAGTCTTCATTGCCTGCTATGTCTACAGCTAGACGATTACATTATGAAGGATTAATTTATCGTTTTAAATTTTTAATGCTAGCTACTTTATTATGTGCAGCTTTAACAGTTATTGGTTTTATTTTGGGACAAGTAAGTAACTCATTTCAATTTTAGTTCAAAGTAAGTATTGTAAATTCTACTAATTTGTTTTGTAATATACAGGTTACTGAAGGAAAATGGAAGTGGGATGACGATATTGATCTCAATTTTACTTCAGCCTTTTTCACTGGAGTTTATGGAATGTGGAACATTTATATTTTTGCATTGATTATTTTATATGCTCCTAGTCATAAACAGTGGCCTGCCGATAGTCATATAAGTAAGATTTTTTTTGTTACTATTTACTAATTATCTGAATAATAGTTCACAAAATGATGTTTTTATTGAGGCATATTTTGCTACTTGCATGGCACATGCCAGTTTAGTATCTGGATCTTTCTTTACATTTATTTTTAATTTATTTACTGCTATCTGTTATTGAAAGCAATGAGCAGAAATTGTTAATATATGAGAAAAGGGATCACTTTCTCACAAATTATCACTTTCTCGTATATTGTTAACAATTTCTGCTCATCGTTTTCATTAGCAGATTGTAGAATAAATGAATATATATATATATATATATATATATATATATATATATATTTAGAAATATCTGTACCCACACTTTTGTCCACATAGAATTCAACAAAAAAGTTAATTCATTTTTATTTTAATTGCCATTTAGTTTTAGTTTTCTGTATTAGCTTGATTGAAAAAGTTCTTCATATACAATATTTAGGCTGCGATTTTCTTGAGCGAATACAACAGCACTTTTAGCCTTTTTCAAGCATTTAGAGAGTTTTGACTTTCTGTTAATCATAACTAACATTTAAAAAATGAAAAATCCAGCTTATATTTTTGAAAAATAGCTATCAATGATACTAACTAAATAAAATAACTTATGAATAATTTATCAATTTTTAGTTAAATCTGTAAGGTGAATGCAAATGTACTTACACTATAATTATTTAAAATAGTTTCATAAAGGTAAAAAAAATTAAATGAAACAAAATTATTCAAATTAAAATAATATAAGATGTAAAAATATATATAAGATTATTAAAATATTTTGAATTATGGTAAGACAAAATTGAAAAACCAAAAAAAAAAAAACAATTAATAAACCAGTTAACTTTTTTGTTAAATTTCATGTGGATGTAATCGCGATATTTAAAAGTAAACTTGGCCCAGATGCATCCTGCCAAGAAAAGTTTCATCAAGATTTGTTCAGTCGTTTTGAAAAAAATGTTAATTTGGTGTATATGCCCTATTTACATTAGTGCATATAATAGCTGAATCTATATTACAGACACTCTAATTTTATTTATATGTATAAATAATTATATTCTCATTTGTTTATATATATTATTCATATTTTATAGTTGTAATATTTTATCTTTATCTTACAGCTGATCATAGTGTGAGTGAAGAAATAGAATTCAGCCGTTTGCCAACAGATCCTTGCTCAAGTGAAATATCATCCCTTACTTCATTTGTTAGAAAAACAGCAGTGGATTAAATGCGAAAATCTATGGTTGTTATATGGTGCATGTGGTTTTGAAATACTCAATTTGAGGTCTTCGCAATCTTTATAGATTAAGATTTTATACAAATGTGCTTTTAATACAAAAATGTCATGAATATGTACGTCATAAGATATGAGTTCTGTGGTATTATATTTTACATCTATAAATGATAACCATTTAATGATAATTATTTTGCTAAAGTAAATTAGAGTTAATTAATATTAATAATTGAAACGTATTAGATGTTGTGTTATTGAAATAATTTTTATATTTATATGATCTTAATATTATATAAGCCTAACAGTATTATTGACAAATGGCCATGTTAATTTTATGTATATTTATACCCATAATTTTATAGCTTTTTATATGAAAATGTAATATTAAGTTTGCTAGATTAAAATTTACTTTATTTTGAAGTGGCTTCTGCTAAGCTCATTCAACTCGAATACTAGAAGCTTTTAAACAATGTTTTAAAAAGAGCTTTCTAATATTTTAACAAATTCTTAGCTATTTATGTTGCTCTCTGTTTTGTACTATAATTTTAACTGATAACAGTATTCACATAAACAATTGTAATGTTTGTTTTTGCAAACTGTTTAATTATTGTCTTGTAACTTTCATAATTGTCTTATTACTATTTATTTCATACATACTATTCATTTTCATTTGAACCATTGATCCATAATGTATATATAAAGTTGCGCTTCCGTCAATGTACATTGATGTTAAAATAAATAATTATAATTTAACATCTCTATTTCAAATATCTAACTTAGTTTATTCAAGGTTTCAAGTGATTCTAAATCGTTTGACTTTACATCGGCTTTAAATTGTTCGAAATTTGGTAAAGCTATATATGCGTGTGGACTAAAATTTGACCTAATGACCAAATTTTCTTAAAAACGGATGCACTGATTTCAAAAAATTTATGCCATTTGATATTGATTAGTATTGCAAGACGATCATCCGAGCTGTTTCTTTAGAATTTGCAGCAAGGTGCAAAAGTTTTCATCAACGTTCTCACCAAAAATGTTCAACTGACTTTGAAAATTTTAAAACACGATAAACGAAAACAATGAAATGATATGACTTGGGTATTGTGCTGACTAGTTTTTAGTTAAGATCGGCCGGGCTGTTTCTTCATAATTCATTGTTGCATTTTTTTGGCATTGACGTTCACATGAAATAAAACACATTTTTAGAACACCAAGTAAAATGATATGTACAGCCATACTTGTTTATCTATGTGTGTTAACAATAGTTAGTTCTAAATAGCTAAATATTATTGATTAAGTTGGTTATTTACATGTATCGAAAAGTTTATATAAATTGCCTTAAAACAAAATGCCACTTACAATTAGTAATTGCGTTACAAATTTCTAGATAAATGAAAAAATATATTGAAATCTAGTGTAGTATAAATTTTTATATTCTTATTATGTCACTTGAATTTACCGCTTTGCTATAGCCAAGACGCCAACCTTCAAAAATGTCAACAAGATAACGAAATTTGACCGATTGTGCAAAGATTTTATCTATATTTATTTAGAACATTGACAATATACAAGTCACATTATATAACAATTTTGCACATTTTCATCATCATGTCTTTCAGATTTTGTCCAAACCTATCGTTTTTATTTAATGAAGTTCCATTTGCCAGCAGGTACCAAAAGGCAAAATCTTTGGGGTTTAAAGGAGTTGAAAGCGGTTTCCCTTTCAATGCCGATTTAAATGCTGTCATAGATGCAAAAAATGATTCGGGCATTGATCATGTATTAATAAATATATATACAGGTAATAGATAATGTAGGAAAATGATTAACATAACAATGTCATTTTGTTCAATTTTAGGGGATACTTCGAAAGGAGAACTTGGCTGTGCATGCATACCTGACATGTCTTCAGTATTTGATGATGCACTTGATAAAACTATTGACTTAGCTAAGTCATTAAACTGCAAAATGCAAGTTCTTACTGTATTTATTTAGGAGCTTAAATATTTCATTGTTGTCAATGATAATGAAGATTTCAAATAAAAATTTGGCAGGATTCATTTAATGTCGGGAAAAGTAATTGGTCCATGTACACAACAAAACGATGAAGCTTATTTGCACAATTTGCAGAGAGCATCAAAAAAGTTAGAGCAAAATGATATAATCGGTTTAATTGAGCCAATCAACTCGATAACTGTGCCTGGATATTATTTAAATGATTACGGCAGAGGTAAGTGATATAATTTTTTTTATTACAAAATCTGTTTCAGTTAACTGTTATATTTTCTTTATATAAATTTGTATTTCATTTTATCCTCATATTTTATGAATCATCATTGTTTTATATGAATATTAATAGTTTTGTGAATAATATATGTCTATAAGTTATTACTTTATTCAAATCTAACTTGTTTTTTTTTTTAATATTTCAGCACTCACTGTCATTAAATCAATAAATAGTCCAAATTTGAAATTGATGCTTGATATTTTCCACCTACAACATATATGTGGAAACATTTCTCATAACATTAAGACATTGCTGCCATATATAGGGCATATCCAAGTAAGTTAAAATATTTCAGTTTAAGATTTAGTTAAAACTAATTTATACATAAGATAACTTGTTAATCAATAAATATATATTATTCAGATAGCGCAAGTGCCTAATCGCAATGAACCGAATACTCCAGGGGAAATTAATTTTCCATATGTGTTTAAACTTCTAGAACATCTAAATTATTCGAAATGGATCGGGCTTGAATATGTTTATAAAAATGGTTTTGACTGGATATCAGACTATGGTTATTCTAATTAATAATTGTTTTACAGTAATAACAACAATAATAATACAAATTTCAGCAGATTGTAAATGTTATTGACGCTTCTGATTTTGTTATGATCATAATAATTACCTCCCAACAAACAGCTTCATGCCTCACAGCAAACAGCTGTTATTTTGACGGATATATTGTTAAATTATCTTCATTTGTGTCATCATTATATACTCCTTATATCATCTCATATTGCATCAAATTGTAAATCACTGGCACTAGGTTCATTGATCATAATTATATAAATATGTATTGTATTGAAAAAAAAAATTAATATATTTTTGTACTGTGTTAAATAATGAATTTTATTTTGCACATACTGTCATTTACATTCATCGTTTCATTCTTTGAATAATTGCTTCACTGACATTTACTTTGATTTTGCTTATATCTGCGGTTATATATATAATTTTTTTTAATTTTATGTTTTGAAATTGTACTTTCGAAGCATTTGTTAACTTCCCGTAGGGTAGTTATAGTAATGGGCCGAAAATCGTAAATTAATTTTTTTGCATTTCTCGACGTTTTGAAGTTTTTTGAACATTTTGGCATACCTCAGAAAAAAATGATGTGTGTGTGTGTGTGTGTTTTGTATGTCCGCATTTTTTCGTCCACGTTTTCGGGCGCGCGGATCAACACATTTTAATGGTTCAAATCATCATTGACATTCGATTCCTATTGATTGGGAGATGTGCTGATTAGTTTTTTGGCAAAGGCAGGTTTAGCCGTTACGGAGATACGGAGCAAAGAGTGCAGAAAATAGAAATCGAGTTTTTGAGAGAACGGAGTATCCGATTTGAATGATCTAAAAAACATTGAATTTGTAATGATTGGAGAAGAGGTGATTAGTTTTTGGCAAAGGCAGGTTCAGCCATTTCGAAGATACAGAGCTAAATGTGCCAAAAATGGCAGTTTTTAAAAGAACTGAGCGTCCGATTTGAATGGTTCAAAGAACTTTCTGCTTGTTTTAACAAAATAATTGCTTTTGAAGAAAAAAATTCAATTTTCAATTTTTTTTTGTATATCGAAAATAATTCAGATTTTAATTTAATTCTGATTAAAGTTTTTTAACTCTGACTAAACTTATATACTTTAAATAAATAGTTTTAACTTTGCAATTCAGTTTATATAATTCTTATAAATATTAGACAATGTTATAATATTTATAATAATCTATTTGAAAACATTTAATATTCCTCGAACATTTCGTTACGGTACGGGAAGTTCCAGCAATTTGCCTTAAGGCACGATACACCACTAGTTTAGCTGTACATTAACTCGAAAAGAGCGATTATGAGCGAGTTCAAAATCTATTGAAGTACTTTATTGAATTTTTTAGCATAGATTTTTTAGATTTTTTAAATGCAAAAATACTTCAAACATTTTGAAATAATTTTAGTTTCACTTATCTAATATTTGAATGTACAACGGCAAGTTTTACCAATAGGCAGCGCCAAAATAGAGAAACAATTCACACAGCCGACATCAGAAAATTACCAGATCGATGGTTTTCATTCGCTTTCCCTAGTTTATTTAAGAAGATTAAGTGTACAATAGAATTAAAAATGTGGAAGATGATAAAATTACTTATTATTCCAAAAAAACAACTTATTAAACTTTACTGACATTCCACATATAACATTAATGAAGCGGCACACGTCGTAACAAATAGTTTGGATCATTATGTGCATAATCTATTTGTTTATTTAATTTGTATAATAATATGTACTGAATTACTAATAATTTATTACGTTGCTTTATAGGTTCTGATGCACCCAATTGGTTTTATTTTATTTGTTCTTACTATTGAGTATGGGAATTTGAAAGAAATTAGAACATGGAGAAGCCGTATTAGCTGAAAGAGGTAAGTTCATAAAAAAACAAATGATATTGTAACTTTTTTACACTACTGTATGATCCAACAAGCCGCACTAGTATTTGCTACACAAATTATTTTAAGATTTATCAATAATTATTACTAAATTAAAATCACAATAACAATTTAGAATTCTCAATAATTTATCCAAGTGTGATAAATATTTATGCACAGTTCAAACAACGGATGTCGTCTATAAGCGACACTAGTACAAAAAAGTCGTCAAACAGATGTTCCTATAGGCGACGCTCGTAGCGAAAGGGTTAATTGTACATTTTGTCAGGTTTGGACTATGACATACATGAGTTTTATA